CTTGAGAGGTCTTCCCTGGCATCCCCCAGATTCACACCCATTGATGATGGGTCTGCAGAACCCACTGGAACCATCCAGAGCTTACAGGAGTTGTGTGTGCATAGCAGACACAACAATCAATGGCTCTGAGTTTCTTTTCAACCTCCCCCCCAACAGCAATAGCATATTAGTTCTGGGAGTTCTAGTCTTTTTGGATCTCTTTTTCTTCATGCTGTTTTCTTTGGCTTAATTTTGATCCCATTTTATTACCGGTACTTTTATTTGTTTTGTAAATTAGGCTGTTGGCATTCTTCCCAATCGTGTACCTTTTGAATCAGGCATGAGGCCTTCAAAGGCCCCATTCTGCAGGTGCGGCCTTGCAAAAGCAAACTTTCTTCCTCAGGTAATTATGGACGTTGTTTATCCCTTAGGAAAGGTCACACAGTGGATTCTTGTAAGTCTTGCCAGGTGGTAGCAAAACAGATTATGTGCACACATCCCCTCCTCTAACCTATAAGCTACTCCTTGGGGGGGGGACTCTTAGAGCAGCCAATTCTGAGACAATTATAGCCCTTTGTTTTTTATCCTAAAATTTTCACTGTGTCTCAAAAGTTACCAGGTACCTCATATGTCCCCTACCTCAAAAATATTTTATATCTCCGCCTGCCAATAATTTTCTCTTTGCTGTCCAGAGTCAAGATTGCAAGATGGGTGGCTCCATAAATTGATACAATAAATCAATCTAAAGACATCTGCAGTTTTGCCATCAGCATCAAGAAAATAATTCAGCGTGTATGATAAGCCGCCTGGGAAAGCTAAGGGAAATCATCAAAACAATTAAAAAATAAAAGTTAGAATATTTCGGACATGTGATGCGACACCCAGAAAAATACGGCATACTCCATTTAATCCTCCAGGGAAAGATTGAAGGCAAACGAGGTCCAGGCAGAAGAAGAACATTGTGGCTTCAAAATCTGAGGGACTGGTTTGGACAAAACTCAGCAGCACTTTTTCGTGCGGCTGCTGATAAAAACAGGATCGCCAACATGATCGCCAGCGTCCGATAACGGATACGGCACAAGAAGAAGAAGAAGTATATAAAACCTTCTAAAAGGCTCACTCCTCCCAATCAGAGCAAAAAAAGAAAGAAAGAGGAGCTAAGTCTTTTCATATGGCCCTATAATTGCAGATTTTACACCCTGCTGGTGTATCAATGCCAGATTTGCCAGTTTAGAAAAATCCATTCACCTTCAGCTCCAAATGCAGTTTTTAAGGGAAAAACAAGCTCAGCTGAGTTCTCATCCTTTATGTCATTTCTCTTTATCAGATATCTGGAATAGGAGGGACCCCCCCCCCCCATTATATTGAGGTTTCGGGAGTCAAAGCCAATCATGTTGCCCTTTGAAAACTCTTCCACTCTCTCGTGCTCTTGTGTTGCTTTAGCATCCATGGGTCTCTTCTAGGATGGGCATTGGATTTTGACCATTATCCTCCTGCTTTCCCTATTCCTGATCAACTCCATAGACTTCCTGAAGCATTATAATGCTGGCCACTGCTTCCTCTGACCCTCATTCACATATGCTTCTTGTCTTTTCTGCAAGGACTGTGGCTAACCACCCAACTGCAGTCATTGCTCCTGAGAATCCTCCCATTGCTGGTGGGCTCCTCAAGCATCACTTTTTTTTGCACTCTCCACATCTTTCACTTTCCTCATTGGAACAACCATCCATGGCAGAAGATTAGATTGCCTTCTTCTCTTCTCAAAGTTAGAGTTTCCATTTTGGTTCTTTCTCAAACCCACACCTTTCCAATTAGTCCCAATTACAAGGTTCTGTCTGGTTCCCCATTATGCTGAGTTCAATCAGAGGTATCCAAAAGTGAAACTTTGTTGTCTCTTCCATCCATATAACTATTCTGTCACCTGACACTCAAGTCACAAACTAGATACGCTTTTCTTCAGAAAGGGTTTATTCCACAAAAGTCTCCTTCTCAGCTGAGTAGGCAGATTTAGCAGACTGTTCAAGAGGACAATGTTTCAAGTCCTCTTCAATACTATACTACAATACTACTACTATTCACCAGTGGATGGTATTTTTATTATTTTATGATTTTGTAAAATGGTTTTGAAGGGCTACTATGTTCTCCAATACCTCTGTGAAAACTTTTTTTTTCTTCTCATGCTACACTGGGTTCCCTATAGGCTTCCAGGCGCAGTCAAGAAATCTGTAAATCCCTTCATAGCTTCATATGCAGGTAGTCCTTGACTTACAACAGTTCATTTAGTGACCACTCGAAGTTAGTACCAAAAAAAGTGACTTATGACTGTTTTTCACACTTACGACAGTTGCAGCATCTCCAGGGTTACATGATCAAAATTCAGATGCTTGGCAACTAGTTCATATTTATGACCATTAATGTGTCCCAGGGTTTATGTGATCCCCTTTTACGACCTTCTGACAAGCAAAATCAATGGGAAAGCAACATTCACTTAACAACCGTGTTGCTAATTTAACAACTGCAGTGATTCACTTAACAACTGTGGCAAGAAAGGTTGTAAAATGGGTCAAAATTCACTTAACTAATGTTTTACTTAGTAACAGAAATTTTGGGCTCAATTGTGGTCGTAAGTCGAGGACCACCGGTATTGCAACCTCTGTACTTAACTGTTACTGCCCATTCTACAAGTTCAAACATGGTCGGCATGCTGGGTCCCATGTATAAAATGTCATCTCGTGAGTCACATTTATTTTCTATCAATACCTGCCTTCTAAATACAGCATGTTTTGTGGTGGAGTATTATGTAGATGAAGGATTTGTCTGTACATTTTGATACTGTTTTATCATTTTGGTTTGTTTTACTGTTTTGCTGATGTTTTAAAGCCACTTTGCATGCCACCTCGAATCACTTTGCAACCGTCAGAAGAAATTTATTTATTTTTTATTTAGGAACCAAATTAATAAATGAGAAATAAACATCTTCTGACACATACCTTGATAATTCAGTTATTTCAGCTCAGCAGACGAGGGAGCAAGGTTTTTAACTTAACACTGGAAATCTGTTTTTTTAGAATTCCGAAGGCCTGTCTCTGCACTCCATTTAGGAATGAAAATGCCTTCCATTTCCCAACCCTTCCACCCTGAGGGTGAAGCCACACCTTTCCTTCAGTGTTCAAAGAGCACCCTCTTTCTCTTTGCCCTTCTCAATGGACTCGGCTGAGTCTTTTCTCCTCAGCGTTTTTTCCCAGAGAGCTGCAATGGCCAATCTTTTGTTACAAGCCAGCTAAGCAAATATGCCCTCTCCAAATCTGTGACTCCTCTGGATAAGATTTTCATTTTTATCCAGAGTCGTTGAGTGGGTCTTTGTTCTCTGCAAAATGGAAGAAGAGCCCTTTAGTTATCTTAGAAGTACAAAAATGGTTTGCTTATCTGTAACTTGAGTGATCATCTATGAATTCACACAACCTGCTCTCCTAACCCTGCAAGGAGCTAGCTGACTTCAGTATTTCTCTGGAGTCGTTGTATCAGTCTCTGGAAATGAAGGGATTCAGTGGGAGCCACGTCCAGTCAAATGGGTTATGTATGAGGGGTGGGTTTCCCATCAAGAAATTCCTTAAGCTCTAGAATATTTTCAGCAGGTCTTGAATAGGAACATACCCCATATGTATGAATTCACAGATGCCCATTCCAAGAACTTCAGTTAGAGACAAGGAACCATTTTTATGTGCAAAATTTAGTAGTCTATCTGTTTTCTACCAGAAGAGGGTCAACTGAATCAACTTAACAATTGGACTGGCCCATTCAAGGATGCAGCTGGAGAATGCAATACATTAAAGATTAACTGACTTAGATTGTAAATTACTAATTACTAATATTGCAAATACTGTATTTGCATGTAGGTGCCATAATTGATATTCCCAGTAATTTTTTTAATCAAACGTACTGTCATGTCAGATAAAACATTTTTGTTTTTCTAGCTCTAAAATGGTACTTATTTGCTGATCAGCAGTGAATCACGGATTAAATAGGAGACAATGAAAGTCTTACATATTACCAAAAGTATATCGGTGACAAACGAGTGTCAACACAAGCTAATGTTCTGTACATTTTTGCTGAAACACCTATTTTTGAAAAGATTTAATTCCCTGAATATAACAAATGCATTTTTTTATGTTTCATCCATGTTTACTTCTCTCCCCAATACAGAGAGCACGATCAGTGCAAGTTTAACCTAAAAGGAAAGAATTGTTTTAAATTAACTATGAAGGTTACTTCCAGAAATCCCCAAAGCAAATAGTCTGAGAAACTGAAGCATACAGTGTTGCTGTTTGATAGCCGTATTATTTATGTATCCAGCCCAAAGCTGAATTTCTATCAGATCTGAGGTCACATGACAGCTAGGTGCAGAATATAAGCAGTTCACTTTGTGTATGTTTCTAAAAGTCTATGTATTAAAGGAGAGTTTGTTTTATAACCACCAGAACTTTTGAAACAAACATTTCACATATACCTTTAATAATAGTGTACCCAGTTTCATAGAGCAATAGCCTAGTTACAAGAAAGAGATTTTTCTGATCTTTCATGCAGTGCAGAACATTCTTCTATGTTCCCCCATGAGCTTTTCACAGCTTTTTTTCCCCAGAAATACTGAAGAACATCTAAAATGTATAACGAACCATGGATTCTCTTGAATACTCACACAATACTTTGACAATTGTATCAAATTTTCAATTTTAATATCTTAAACCTTTAAAGATTTTAAGTGCAGCACTTACAATTTGTGACACATTTTCCCCTTCCCACTTGCAGGCTTTATAGGGGCTGGAGGGGGATGGCAGGTTTTAAGAGTAATGCTGTTTTATTTAAGCTGTAGTTTTTTTCCTATTAAAACATAATAAGTAATAATGAGCTAAATGTCCTGGCATGCACTGGCATTCATAGTCACCATGTGAATTCTTGACAGTCCTTCAAATATAGGAAGAGCTAATAGGCAGTGGAGAGTATATTTGTTCATATTTGACTAAATCCAGTTCTTGTTCTGTGTCGCAGGGATCCTGTATCGCAAGTCCTGTGCCTCCTCTGCAGCTTGTCTCATGACCTCTGCCGGATACCAGACTTTCTGTACTCCAGGGAAGATAAACTCTGTTTGTATAAGCTGCTGCAACACTCCACTTTGTAATGGGCCCAGGCCAAAGAAGCGAGGAAACGCTGGCACCGTGCCTAGGGCAGGAATATTAACAACCATGCTGCTGTCTAGCTTGCCGTTTCTATCACCCGCACATTGCTAAACTCTAAGAGAAGATTCCCTTTGTTGCCATCATTCTTCCTGTGTCACTTCTCTCAAAGGCACAGCTGGTTTCCATTGTGATGTTGTTGTTTGCTTTCCCAAAAGAAGAGTTTTGTCTGAAAAAAAGTCTCAACAACTTCATTACTTACAGAATAGATCTAGTTGTCTGATTTTTTTTTTCCAGTGTGCACTTTAAAACAAAATGAAACAAAGAAAAATAAATCAACAGTTCGTCCGTACAAAAGCACTATCATTCATGTTATTGGAAAGTAGTCTATTGAAATTAGCACTTGAACTTGGAGGGTACAGGTTGTTGGCTGTAAAATCTTTCTTTTGTTTTCCTTTATTGCTTCTTTTAGCCTATTGTGTATTCTATAACTTTTTTTATGAGTATTTACTACTCATGTTCACAAATGCCATTCTGGTTAACAAGACTTGGATCTATGCTGGTTTCCAGAGGCATTGTTCTCACATTGAGCTCCAGTGACTCGGGACTCTGTTTTGGTAAACTGGAGTCAATTTCAGCCTCATCCTGAAGAATATTTGAGGAAACCTTCTGTGTTCTCACATTGAGCTCTAGCGACTTGGGACTCTGCTTTGGTAAACTGGAGTCAATTTCAGCCTCATCCTGAAGAATATTTGAGGAGACTTTCTGTGCTGCTTTGGTGGAAGACTTTCGCCTGGATGACGTGAAGATCAATGGGCGTTTGGAACGATTGATATTGGCTGCAGAGTTTAAACTGATTGCCAAGTACTTCTTTTTGTTGGCATGCTCTATGGACAGGCGACATCGGAGGACTTGAAGAAAGACCTTCCGGAAATGTTGGGAGGAAATGTTGTACAGGAGTGGATTCACCACAGAGCTAAGGTAAAAGAAGATGTCTGCTATGGGGAGGAGAATAATATATGCCCTGAAATAAGAGACTGTCCAGTCTTGCTTGGGCCTGGCAGCCATCATGATCCTTCGAACTTGATTCGGTAGCCAGCATATTGCCAGTGTTGCAACAATCAAACCTGCAAGGGAGGAGAAGAGAGAAAAAGAACTTGTGAAACCAAATCATAAAATATTTAGAATCAGTGCTCCACTTACCGGCTAGGAAATGATACCAATTTTTCAGTGTTTTGCTTGACAGCATCTTCCGCCAGTAGCAAAATATGTTCTGAGAGAGACAGGAGGGGAAAAGGCAAGCCACGGGTTTCAAGGTCATTGGAGTCTGTATTCCAATAAGTATTGTGTAACATGTAAGGTAGCTTTTCTTTTGATCCTTGACATCGGTTAAGTTCAAGTGCTTTATTTCATTTGTACTGCATTCTTAAAATATTTTGCTATTGATACTCTGTTGCCTATTCCTCCTCCTCCTTTTCATTATTAAATAATACAGCCATATTAGAACAGGCAATATCCAAAAGCAGATCAAATTCCACTTATATTTTAAAAGAAAATGTGCATACAATTTGGCATTATTTTTGGTAACTTTTCTCCTACAGAAAATATTTTTATGTACAGTGTGAAAGGCTCTTTTTATGACAGAGTATATAAAAGGGTGTTCAGGAAAGAAGCTGCAATTGAATTAAAATAAAATGGCACAGAGAACAAACATTAACTGTTCCTGGAAATGGAATTTCTAGAGAACACAAAGTTTGTTCCAGGTTTTGCTATCCAGCTACAGTATTTTGCATTCGCCTATAAATGTGAGTATTTATTTCATTGAGGTTAAGTTAATTTTGTTGAAGAAGCATATTAAAATATTTATCCTTGACTTTCTTATTACTGGCAAGACAAGAATGCAAGGCTCCCAGGGCTGACAAAAAAAACTTACCGATTCCATAGTTTTAAAATATTCAGCATGCTTCACACACATTGTCTTATTTACCTGTTAAACAAACTAATGTGATAAAATAGTATTAACCATCCTGAACAATGGCTTGCTAAGATTTCCATTTTCTTAATCAACTTTTTAAGTGCAGGGTTAAACCATCTTTCCAGAATGGTAGTTGAGTATAACCTCTGATTTCTAACCCAATTTCAATTACTGAAATATTTCTAAATTTAAGAAAAATCACTATAAAATGAAAGATGCATTTGTAGTCTCCACCTTGATGGATGTTCATGGATGGATTTGAGGGAAAGAAATAAAATGTTCAGAGTTTTTAGCTTATTTACCCTTGCTGGGGTATTCCTTGTTTTAGAGCAAAGGTGCCTTATTGGTGAAAGAGAATAATTTATCCAAATGTTGGCTGTTCCACTGCAAGTTTTTCTTTGATTTGTGGATTTTTATACTATGCTTGCTAAAATTCTTACTTGCTTTAAAGCTAGTCCTACAACTCAATTTGTTTTATTAGAAAATGTGCAGGCTCTATGTTGCTTTTGTCGAAATGAATCTGGATTCTTACCTAGTCACTACTAAATTGTAAAATATGTATTCAATAAAATAATTGGAAAGATCCAGAATTCAAAATCAAAGACAAATTGTTTTGAAAAATGTAAGAGAGCAACTATGAATATAAGCAGAAGAAAATAGGAATTGGCAGCAGCACCCTGGAAGAGCCAGGACTGAACATAAACTGTGTGTAATAGATTTGTGAATCTTTTGATTTTAATGTTTACTTTTGGTTAATAAAGAGATTAATTTTTTGTAATTCTATGAAGTTTTCATTATGTTGAAAGCTTGGATTTCAGCATTTTGTACAAAATCACATATATGCACCCGCTACATTTATGCTTAACAGAAATTTGCAAAAACAAAAGTTTTAGAAAACACAGTAAATTACCAATTTCCTTAGGTGTATTCTTTATGACTCCTTATGGATGGTGAAACTATATTGGCAGATACACTAATTAATTCATTTTTTAAATCCCTGTTTGATATGCTTAGCAAAGTATAGAGTATAGAGTTACTAACATACCTCTTAAAGTTTCTTATAAACGTGTATGATTGAGGATGAACAGAGAGATAATTTGTCAAACACAGATCAAACACCAGAGCTTTAAAATTATTTTAAAGTAAGTTTCAGTTTGTAATATGTCTGACTCTATAACCAAGGTTAAGGCTATTGCTCTGCCTTAAAGGACTGATTTAGGTAGCAGAGGTGAGTAAATTTACAAAACTAAGAGTTGAGCAGCTGGGAAATAAAGGCATAGAAATAAATGCAATATGCTGTAATTTGTGCTAAAGGAGTAACTGTGATGTATCCATGGTTAGGGTTGCCATGATATCTGAAATTGGCAAGTTTATTAAATTATTGGTCACCAATCTTAGCAAGGGGTAACTCTTGGGCAGTCAAGATAGAGATTAGATAGATAAGATAGATAAGATAGATAGATAGATAGATAGATAGATAGATAGATAGATAGATAGATAGATAGATAGATAGATAGATAGATAGTGTAAATAAGGAATATCACAGGTTGGTAAGACGAATAGACTAGACAAAGAAGCAAATGAAGGCTAGAAAACACACACAAAGTTGAGTTTCTGCCTGTGATGCAAAGTTGAGTGTGCATATATTGTGAAATTTGGGATGAGCCATTTGCCCCAAGACCCTAAGCTAAGATTTACAAGGCACTGATCTGATGCGTATTTTAAAAATGCTTTTAAGAAGTGAGAAGCAAAGTATCCACTGAGCATCATCACTTTTATTTCAAGAACATTGCTGGACCCTAAAACTTTGCTAGAAAATAAAAATATAGGCTGCCGCATCCCAGTGTTAATGCTGGAAGTATGCAGGCTTGTAAAAAGCATTTTGATGAAGAGGCTTTTGAGAATGGGAAGAAGCATTTTTGTTCACTGGAGCTTTGTGTTTCATTATATCCTCCACAACAACAATATTGTTAAAACACTCATGTCAAAATTCCCCAAGTATCTAACCGGTCCTAATGTCTGGGACCCCTGACAATTCATATTTCTTGAAATTTATTATGTATTAAAATTATCAACTGGAAATAGCAAACATTAAACAAATCACTCTTCTGCTCATTATGCCTTGTTCTTTTTTAATCTTTCCAGGGACACTCATTCTGTTTTTTACTTTCTACTATTATAGTTTTTATTTTTCAGGATCATGACCTACCTATTGTTTGATGTGTCTTGCATTAAGATGCAGTAAGATCATGCCTTCGTTCCCATTTCTCTCTTCGCTCTCATTATCATTAAGAAGAACAAAAGATCAATGAGCCATGACACAGAAGCCACTGAAGACACATGTACTTAATGTGTGTGTGTGTGTGTGTAAATTATGGAATAACTAAATGACATTTTAAACAGTGAACCTTAAAAGTAGTTTTCTTTCAGGCCTAGTATCAGAAATGTCCTGATCTGAGAAATCTTTCATCCATCGGTAGTTTCTAGCAGAAATATTGAAAGGTTTTAAGACTCGGTCATGTGGGTCAACTTACCCTTTGTTGTGTGTTTTATTATGTTATTTTTAAAATCTTGGTTTTCCTTAAAAAGAAGAAGTAAAACACTTCTTAAAACCACAAAAGTGGTTTTAAACATGTGAGATTAAATAACCAGCAAAGTATATACTGTAACTTCATAAACAAAAATCCAAGAAACTGAAGTGGATGAATAAGGCAAAATAGAGTCAACCTATTTACCAAATAGGTTCTGTTTTTGTTAAATCGCACTCCCAATTTTTTTTGAAAAATGTGAGTAATATGAGGCCTTTCCAGCTAACTATAATTAGTTCCAACTCCCAAAAAACAGCATTCAATATCTTCTATGGAGTTTGGCAGAGCAAGCTAGCCAATTCCAGGATGCAATATAAGACCAAATCAGAAACATCCTTATGGGTCAGAACATGAAATATACAATCTGCAACATACTTCTGAGTTGCTTCCCAAGGTCAGGGCCTTTTTCCTACAAGATTGGAACTCTGTCTCTAATGTTGAAGGTAAAAAGTTAAGGAAATAAGGCTGCAGGTTTACTGGCTCTTCTTTTAAGCTGTGTTGTCTGTGGGGTTTCTTTGGTAAGGCATTCAATTAAAAATGTGGGGAAGAATTCCAGTTGTTACATCTTAAGTGAAATTTGTAATCGGCACTTAACACACATAATACTTTCTATACAATGTGTATAATGTACAAAATGCACAATGTATAATTAATATGGGCAAAATAATACTTTGTTTAAAAAAATGCAGCATGTTCAAATTTTGCTTTTTCCATTCATATACTTAACTGCTGACTTTTACTTAGATTATACACTATCCAAGTTCTTCCTTCCCTAGACACCTCATGAGGAACCAACTGCTTTATTCTATACAGAGGAAGTAAAAAAAATGAGTTGATTGTAACCTTGCACTGTATCGTAGAGGTTAGTGTTTCAAGGAACAGGCAGAGAACTCTTTGTGTAAACTGTCATCTTGGTGAGCACAAGTAATTGCTCATCTCTTGGTACCCCAGGAAAAAAACATTTCTTTTTTGCAGAGATGTGAATAAATGTTTGGAGCTTTGTTCCTTTAAGATTTAACCATAAACCTTTCTTTTCATCCAGGCTACAATATCATAAAATGTAACATTTTACTCTTCTTAATGTCCTTGTACAATCAACACAAATGGGATGGAGAAAAGATACTAATTGGCTCTATAGAATAACTATTTTTATATTGTGGAGGAAAATAGGCTTACACAATCCCATTGCTCAGTGTTCTTAGGAAACATCTGTATTGTTTAGATCAGTGTTTCTCAATCCTGGAAATGTCAAGATGTGTGTACTTCATCTCCCAGGATTCCAAACATGCTGGCTGTGGAATTCTGGGAGTTGAAGTTCACACATCTTTCTATTGCCACAGCTGAGAAACGCTGGCCTAGTAAAAAGTGCACTTGCCCTATTCCTAGAACATACAGAGTTGTCAAGGACTTACTGTACTTTGTAAGGATGCAGATTTAAGCAAAAACAAATGAAGTGGTCATTTAATGGTGCCCATCCATTTTGAACTAAGTCTGCTGTGTCTTTGCTTAAAGTAAGAAAATGGATAATGCATTATGCTAGGCAAGGAACTAAGTCCATACAACAAGCATTGAAGCTTCACTGTGACTTCTTCAAACAAATATAATAACACTGCGTGAAAGATCTGCGAGAAGCAGTGAATCTTATAGTCCTTTGCCCTACCATGAATGTAGTCTCACAAAGCAAGT